GAGAGAGAGAGAGAGAGAGAGAGAGAGAGAGAGAGAGAGAGAGAGAACATTATTTCCATGGCTTATGAACCTGGCATTACATGGCAAAGAAGCTTATTAAAGCTTGTGACATGTCGCTAATCTTATTATGAGGGTCTTTTCAAGGAGAGAGCCAATTTACCTGCCCAGCTCAATTGTAGAATCTGATGTTCAAAGGCCAGACTCTAGTCAGCCCTTGAAAAGAGCCCTCCCCAGTTCTGAGGGTTCTGACTCTGAGAATCCACTTCATCACTTTCAGTTCAGAGGGTCTTTTTTTCTGGTAATTCCCCACCTGGCCTCAGGGATGCTGTATTTCCAATAGAGACCTTAGATTTTCTAGATTCAAGTAATGAGCAGCTAATTTTGTTGTAAATTGTGTCCTATCTGAGGAAGCCAGGTTAGAAATACAGTCTCAACTCTCAGCCTGCAGATGCGTTGTTTTTAGTTGTTCAAAAAGCAACTTTATAAGAAAGGGCCCCCAAAATAGTGAGCCCTGAGCAGGGTGCCCAAGGCCTGGCAACCCCAGCTGTAGAGAAACTAAGCCAAGAGGATTGTATGTTCAAAGCCTGCTGGGACTGAGGTCTAGCCAGCCTAGGAAAATTAGCGAGACTCCTACCTCAAAAGAAAAGGTAAAGTGGACTAGAGAAATTGCTCCATGGGAGCATGGTATTTTTTTTTTTACCTCAATGCTAGCCTGTGACCTCTATTCCCATAACAAAGGTGCCCAGAGGGTAATCCAGCATAGATAGAAACACATGAAATTTCCAGGGAAGAAAGTGGTCATATGTGTTCCTTTGTGTATGTATATAGGTTTTCACACAGGCATAGCCATTCATAGACAGGCGCTGCTACCCCAACAGCAGGCTGCACACCAGGCTAGGACACTCTAGTTTGATACTGTTCCCTCTGAGCACAGAAGGACCCTCAGCTGACTTGGCCCTTGGCTCCTGCAGATCTGAAGCTGGTGAGACTGGTCAATGGGAGAAGCCATTGTGAGGGCCGCGTAGAAGTCTACTTCAATGGCACCTGGGGGTCTGTGTGTGATGATCTTTGGGGCATACAGGCTGCCCAAGTGGTATGTCAACAGTTGGGCTGTGGGGGGGCCCTGGCAGCCCCCAGGAGCAGCCTGTTTGGCGATGGCTCTGGCCCCATCTTCCTAGACGACGTGAGGTGCCTGGGGACAGAGACCAACCTAGGGTACTGCCGCCACCTCGGCCTGTCTGTGCACAACTGTGATCACCATGAGGATGCAGGAGCCATCTGTTCAGGTACCCAATCTCTGCTGGACTTCACTTTTCAACCAAGCAACAAACCAGGGAGAGCCACACAGAAGGATATTGGGGCCCTGCTGGGGTGAACTTGTCCTGGCATTAACACCAAGGGTCCCGTGCCTCTCAAGTGTCCTTGGGACTCCAATAACCAACAGCATTGGCCACCCAGGTGTCAAGAAATGAGAACCCATTGTCCATTGTCACAGCCTGTTCTCCGGGCATTACACACACACGTCTTGTAATCAATAATAAACCTGGAAGCCAGGCTGATGCCCTGCCATAGGACTGTTTTTAACTCCTGGGAATGGTCCTTCTATGTGCAACAACCTCACAAGTCCTCTGATGAGACTTTAGGCAGCTTGACTCTCCTCGTGGCTGATTGCCACGAGTGTCTGGACTTTCTGGCCACAGGACACAAGTTTATGTAACCACTCAAAAAAACTTGACCAAAACCTCTGTAACCTTGTTTCATTATTAATTATATTACTGCCAGGCCTCATTACTTCCTGGGACAACTCATTCTTTACCCCCTAGAGGGCCAGGCAGAGGTGAGGTGAGGAGATGGTAGCAAGATGGAGCTGAGGAGAGGCTGTCTCCTCCACTCTACCAGTTTGCCGGCTGTCTTGTCTTGGTTATATCCGAAGAGTTAGTTTTATGGTGCCGGGGGATTAAAAACTCTCATTTCCTATTTTGTGGCCACAGACGCCCTTAGTGTCACTTGCCTGTAGGGTCAAAAGATGTTCTCAATGAGGATTATTAAGTCAGGTGAGGGAAACCTGGCCCAGGGTCATTGTTGGCATGGACTGGCTCCTAACAAAGACCAGATCACATGTGTGCCCCATCACATGGACATGACGAGGATTCCCACCCACTTGACTTGTGGTATTTATCAGATGAACCTCCTCCACTGATGGGAATGCTTCTCGTTGTCTCTTTCAGCTGGTGGTGTTGCCTCAGATTTGGCAGAAGTGGCTCCCATAGTTGGTAATACTCTCATTGCTTCTCTTACGACTTCCTGGTTAACCCAAACCTCCCCAAGGTTATAGCCTTGACTCTCAGTGGCTGCCTAGAGCTCAGCTTCCCTGGGATTGCAATGGAGAAAACTGAACTGGAGGAGAGGCTATTCATATGGACTGGTACTGCCTTTCTTCCCTTAGCTTGTCGGATGATTTTAACTTTGAAATTGCACCAAGGGACAAGAAAAGAAAAAACAAACAAACTTGATTTTGAAATATTTAAACCCAAAACCTATGGAAATCGTGGTTTGGTTTCAAGGATATGATTATCATTGTAATAAGACATTTTTAGTCCAGAGATAAGAAATCAGAGAAGTTACTGCATTTAGAATAGTTAATTCAGGGTAGTCCTGTAGGGCCTAGGGGCAGGAGGTCAGAGTTCCTACAGAGCTGCGATTTAGAGGGACTGTGTTTAGAACTAAAGAGAAGCCCACCTGATGACCAGGACACTCCAGGACTAACCTCTGAGTCTCCCCCAGGTCAGCTCATGATCAGGTTGGTGGACGGAAAGAACCGGTGTGAAGGGAGAGTGGAGGTCCTCCACAACGGCACATGGGGCACTGTTTGTGATGACCTTTGGGGAATCGAGGATGCCCATGTGGTATGCCGGCAGCTGAACTGTGGGAAGGGTCTCAGCGCCCTTGGGAATGGCCACTTTGGAGAGGGCGTGGGGAGCATCTTCCTGGATGACGTGCAGTGCCAGGGCAGTGAGACCTCGCTAGGCCAATGCCAACACCAAGGCTTGTCTGTCCACAACTGTGGCCACCATGAGGACGCCAGTGTCATCTGCTCAGGTACCTGCTGCTGGCTTTGTCCGTGATTCTTGGTGGTGGTCCTGGAAATTAATGTGGGGACATTTGGATCCTGTTGGGGTCTGCTAATCTTGCCTAAGGCTCTGAATCTAAGGCTTTCTGGGACAGTGGGAGTCCACCTGATCATACCTGCCCTCCCTTGCTGAACCCTGCTTGATTCAACACCCACGAGCTACCCGTAAGCCTGCAGACTGTCCTGTCTTTGAGGACTCTCCACGTGCTCTGTCCACTAACCACTACAGTGATGCATTTTCCTTGTGTTGTCTGCTCTGAGCTCTGGGGCTGACTTTCAGTGCTGGTCTTGAGAATTCTCTTTTTAAATTTATTTTTTTAAAGAAACCAAACTATCTTTATTCATTTTACACACCAATCTCAGTTCTCACTCCTCTCTCTTCCCATCCCCTCCACTTCCACCTCCTTCCCACCCATTCTCCCATCCACTCCTCAGAAAGGGTAAGGCACATTCCTTTGGAGAAGGGCCAAGGCACTCCCTGCTATATCCAGGCTGAGCAAGGTATCTATTCAAAAAGAATTAGGTTCCAAAAAAGCCAGTACAACTCCAGGCAGACAGTGAAGGAAACAGCATAGGTCCAAACTAGTTCCTCTGAATGTGGGCGACAGTTGTATGGCTGGGGCAGACTGAGCGGAGCGGCCACTGGCACCAGGATTTATCCCTACTGCTTGTACTGGCTTTTTTTTTTTTTTTGTGCGGCGGGGGGGGGGGGCGGTCTTGAGAATTCTACAAACACAGTTCAGTTTCTCTTGCTTGGTTTAAACTGTTTCCTTTCGGCCTCTCATTTGGGATGGTTTCCTGCTGTTTCTTCTTTCTTTGTTTAATTCAACAAGGTTTATGCATTATGTTTTCGCTCCATCTCAACAGAAAGTAAAATAGAGAGAAAAATGGGATGAAATGAAAACAACCATGGCCAAGCATCTCTTAGATAGCACGAGACTAGGATGAGAGAGTTGAAGTCATTCGTCTGTCTATTTGATATACATTTCTCTTAGATTTCATTTATCCTTTGACAATTTCAGTCACTGTGTCCTCAGCATATTCATCCCCAGTGTCTTCCTCCTACTTTCCCTGGGTCCCTCGATCCCACCCACCATGTCCCCTCTGTCCTTTCATGTCCTTTCCTTTCTGCTTTCTTTTTTCTGTAATCCCCTGAGTCCAGTTGATGCTGCCGGCTGCCTTGACTGAGCTCGCTGGCTTCGCATTGTGCAGACAATCATAACTGCAGTGAGTCATGAGGGCAGCAGCTGTAACCTGCCAGAAGACATGACAGCCCCACCCTCCAGTGCTTACATTCTTTCTGCCCCCTCTTCCTCAGTGTCCCCTGAGCCTTGAGGGCTTGGTATAGACGTCCAGTTTAAAGCTGAGCACTTAATAATCACTTGTTCTCAGCACCTTGACCAGTTAAGAGTCTCTGTGCTGACTGCTTGTTTAATACACACTCTATGAACCAGACAGAGTTCTCTAGGTACTGAGGATGTGGTTACAGAACAAAAAAGCCTCCATTCCTGTGTCTCAGAAGGAGAGCTGAAATCACTTATGCAGTTAACTACAATATAATATAAACAAATTTGAATAAAGATCGAATCTAGGATGATAACATACTTTATATTTGTGAAGACTTTTTTCTTCCAGTGTTCAGACAACTCAACATTGTGTTACAATCATAGTTTGGTATAAATGAGAAGTCAGCCTTACCAATCTAAGGGTGGAATGAGGAAGGCACCTAGTTATTTGCCACTATGAAAACCACATCCTCTTCATTGCACGGGAGATGTGGCCTTCCTGACCTATCCCAGGGGAACAACCTGTGCCCCGGCCAATGAACATTTCTAACTTCCTGCCTTCACACATCCCTATTTTTATTTCAACCTTAGCAAAAAACAATCAACAAAGAACACAGAAATGAAAACAAAGGAAAGCAACAGCTAACTCTGTCTTTGATTTAGTTCCACATTCCAGAAGTTGTTTGTATCTCATGTGTCAACTTTTTAAGTAAAAATGATCTCCTAATTTCTGAATGCTTTTCCATTTCAGCATCAGCCACAGAGATGACAACTTCACCCGGTAAGATCTCTATTTTCACTGTTTTCTCAAAGTGTGTTGATTGCCTTACCTGGTTAAGGTTTTGATTTGTATAACATATACAAATTTTAATGTGCACAAAGCTTGGAATTCTGTTAAAAATGCAGATTTTCATTCAAGAGTCTGCATTTCTTTTTCTTCTTTTTGTTTTATGTGCATGAATGTCTCACCTGCATGAATGTATGAGCACATGTTTGTGCCTGGTGGTGGTTGAAGTCACAAGAGACCATCAGAGAGTTACAGATGTTTGTGAGCCAAGCATGTAGGTGCTGGGAACCAAACCTCTTCAAGCTCAGTAAGTGCTCTTAGCAACTGAACCACCTCTTCAGTCCCAGGAGTCTGTGTTTCTAAAAGAAGCCACTGTGTTTCTAAAAGAAGCTGATCCACAGGGTAGACCTTTCCCATGCAGAGGTTGAAGTTGGGAGATTCAGGACTCTTCCAGGGTCACACACTCCGTTACACAGACACTAGGAACCAGGTCTCTTAACTCCAGCTACTGTTCATTTCCTCTAACTTTCTGGAACAGAAGAGGAGAATCCAAGAGGAACAGAGTAGAGCGTAGTGTATCAGGACACATTGTGTACAGGGCCATTTACTTTTATAAATAATTTTGATTGGCGAGGATGACACTTAGTTACAAATTTCCTACCCTGCTTGTTTCAACAGTTCCTGCTTCAAGCCCAGCGGCAGCTTTAGTCCTTGCAACTGGTAAGCTTTCTGCTCATTTTCCCACTCCCTCTATATCAGAGATGATAGGATGTTGAAATTCCACCAAGCTAGTACAGTCTTACTCCTGGCTCCCCACAGTCACTTGGCTGAACTAATATCCCAAGTAAAAGACAAGATCCCAGAAGTAGACCCAGAGGGCCTCTGCAGCCAGGTCAAGACCAAGTTCAAGTTCAAGTCAAGTGCTTGCATACGTAAGGGGCCATTCCACAGGGCCTCTCTCACAGCCTGCCAATGTGTTGTTGCTTTTTTGCCATCCTACCGACTGTACAGTAGGGAGAAAAGTAGGTTGGACATGGGGGGTATAAGGACTGGGAGGGTTAGCCCCAGATTGGCAATGGCAGGGGTGCTCGTAGATGCTACAACAGTCATATGGAACAAAAGTGCCCTCTTACCCAATATCCTTTGAGATGCCTCTGTACTGTATCCGAATACAAACAGTGATATTCTTCCCCATGAGTGGATCATGCAAGTAGCAGTTTCATCTCAGGAAAGATTTAATTTATACTAGCACAGGCTGTGTGCTTTGAATCTGGATGTGCAAACCCTTATTCAGAAGGACATGAAATAACGACCCTCAGAGCAGCCTTAGGCATGAAATAACGACCCCGACAGCATAGGCAGACTGCAGGAAAGGTGGGATGAGCAATGAGAACTTCTCACCAGGTGACTAATGCTCCCCCTTGGGTTTTGTATCAGGCATCACTCCCACTTCAGCAGAAGTAGCTCACCTGTCATCACCTGACAGTCGCCTCTGCCCACCACACTGCACAGGTAGGACGGCAGAGTGTTGGCCATGACTGGGGTCAAATGAGCACACAGCTTGAGAGCGGTTGTCATTGTCTGAGCAGACTGTCTCATTGAACCAGACCCAGCACTGGGAATATGGGGAAGGGAGGATTAGGAGAGACAGGGGAGCTCCTTGGCCACACACATCACACACTCACACATACCACACACACACATCACACATACCACACCATAGACTCCATACACATGCATCACACACATACATCACATACACCGCACACACATCATATATACCACACACAGACCACATACACTACTCACACAACACACAACAGATACACACACACCACACACGTCACAAACACACCACACACACATCACACACACCACCACATCACAGCACATGCACATCACATATACACATACACAATTGTCATTGCTGTAATTTTACAACGCCCTATGAAATGCTTGATCTTAAGACCATAAGATGGGCCTCTTTCTGAGGACTCAAATCCTAATGTAGTTTTTGTTAATGCTCTCTCCAGCATTAGCCTGGTGCTGGCACACAGGAACTGGCTGTCAAGATAACTTAATTAAATAAATAAAAGACAGGTGTCAGTGTTTTGTTTTCTTGGTCTTCAACAGGATTTTACCACTTACCTTTTCTTCTTTACAGGCCCTTTGGCAACCGCTCCAGTTACGGCCAGTCCAGTTGGTAATTTGAATGTTCTTTTTGGTTCTGATAGAGTTGTAGACAAACAACTATTGACATCACTGAGTCTCCTTGACATCCATCCAGTGTCAATGGGGCATCCAGTATCCATTATGCTGTTTAATCTAGTAGATGGGCTGCTCATTCATTGTGTAGTATTAGACAGAGAACCTGTTCAATGATCATACTGACAATAGCATAAAGATCATGAAAGGACATTCATTCCATATGTGTATGCATGCAAGCATATGCATACTCATGTGTATACAAAAGCCTCAGTGTGTTTGTGTAAAGGCACATATGTGTACATTATTTGTGCATGTGTGTATAGATTACAGAATAATCAAAGATGTCTTTCTTCTAAATACCAACCATTTCCTTACAGACAGGATCTCCTCTTTGCCTGGAGTTCACCAATGAGACTAGACTAGATAGACTAGACTATCTCTGGCCCCAGAGATCCTCCTGTCTTTGCCGCCCCAGTACTGGACTTATAAGTGCAGACCAGCATGCCTGGGATTTTGTGTGGGTTCTAGGAATCAAATTCCAGTTCTTATGCTCTCAAAGCAAATGTGTTGCCTACTGAGTCATTTTCCCAGCCCAGACACTCTGGCTACAATCTCCTGCTCACTGGGTTTACATACAGACATGTCTTTAACCTTGACAGAAGAGGTTACCTTCCCTGGTAATGTTTTCTGTTTGCCATGCTTTTTTTTTCCATGTAAAATGTTTCCCCTTTTCTATTAAGCAAATGAACTAAGCTTGCCTCTTCCTCTTTGTCTGCAGACACATCTTTGACCTCAGCAGAATCAAGCCCTCCAAATGGTAAAGTCTCCTGTTGTGTTGTTTCATATCTGACTTGTTGTACTTAAAAGATGACCCTTCTTAGTGATCGTATCAGCCAAGAAGAAAAGACAGAGCCAGCATTGCCCTGCTCATTTTAAAGCACTGTTTCCTGCCTTTCTACACAGATGCATCTCCAGTCTCAGCAGGAGAGGAGACACCCACCGGTAATACTTTCAGCTTTTATTTCTAAAGTTAAATATGCTAGGTGCTTTTCATCCTTCTCTTTGAAGGGTGCTTGTAAGTAAGCGTCTTCTTGTCTTTGTTTACTGACACTCCTTCAGTGTCATCAGAAGCAGCCTCTCCAACTGGTAATGTCTTCCAGTGTTGCTTAGCCAAGGAGATGAGCTTGTTTTTGAAGGAGTTTACTAGCATGTTTATAGCATATACATACATATATATATATATATATGTTTATAGCATGCTATAAACATGCTAGTAAACTATAAAATAATATATATATATATTACATTTAAAAAGTAAATTATATCTTTTTTATATTTACCCCACTACCCTTTCTGGTACCCACACTCCACTGATCTCCCCCTCCCCCTCTAACTTCACGTGGTTTTTCTGTGTGTGTGTGTGTGTGTGAACTAGTAACTCTGAATTGGGATACTTACAGGAGCATAGAGAGTGGTTATTTGCAGGAACAGTGACCAGACCACTGAGGAAAACATCTCTCCCGCCCCTAGCCATCAGTTACTTAGAGAGGAGAAGGTCCTCATAAGTGTCCACTCCCCATGGCAGAATAATAGTGCATTATTATTCTGACCTGGTGCAGGTCTTGGGTCAGGTAGTCATGCTTGCTGAAGTTGCAGTAGAGCCATAGGCACACCATGCCCAGAAGGCGGCATGCCGAATCACTGTGAGCCTCCTCTGGCACTCGTATTCTGTTTGGGTTTTCAAGTTTTCCATTTATTCCTCATATTCAGTATGAGTCTTCATAACTAACCATAAACTTAATGAAACCCAAGGTCAACCCAATTCCTCTTCAACAATGTTCCCTGATCTTGGAGGGAATGACACAGCCCCACTTAGGGCTGAGCATTTAAGTCCTTGGTTGCTAGCACTTTGAGCAGTTATGAATCTCTGCAGTCACCACCACCCACTGCAAAAAGAAACTTCCCTGACCGAAGAAGAAACCAACTCCAATGTATGGGCATAAACACAATAATTTAGATGTCAACTTGGCAGCCATATCAATTCCATGTAGCAAGACAGCAGCAGTAGCTCTCCCACTAGATCTATCATGTCCTCTATCATGGGCTTTTGAACAGGTTTGCAGCACTAGACTCCCGGGGAGCAACCTCAAATCCCGGCAGAAAAGATTTGGTTACACCCACGACAGTCATGCCACTCCTACACCAAGGGTGCATCTTACCTGGCAAATCAGTAGTGTCAGATGCAGAATTCACAGTGGAGTAAGACTGTTCATGACAGTGCTTCCCCAACACCCTGAATAAGACCATCCAAGCTTGTGACACTTGGCCAGTGTGAAGAAAGCCTACAGTTCAGTTCCACATTGATTTCTGTATACCCAGAAAGCAATGTCCATGGTGTCTTCAGCAATAGAGGTGGACTCCTCATTTATCATGTCATATTTAGAAATTAATCTACTTAATGATAATATTGGCTACAAAGCAAGGATCCATGAAAAGACACTCATTTTAAAGCATCCTGTCTCTGGGTTTGTACACAGATGCATCTTCATCTTCCGAAGAAGAGGAAACATCCTCAGGTAATGTCTTTGGCCTGTCACATTTCTTTAATACAGTAGCCAGAGATTTTTTTCTTTCTGTTTGGTATTTGACCCTGGATATGTTTCCACTACTTTTCATTCATATATGTGTCTTCAAGATCAGCAAAAGTGACTTCCTCAACTGGTAAAGTCTCCTGTGGGGCTATTTAACTAATGGGATAATATTCTTATTTGTCATGTATTTAGAAAATGACCCTACTTTAGGATCGCACTGACTACAAAGTAAAGGTCAATGAAAGTCACTCGTTTCTTCCGAGTATGTGTGAACTACTCACATGTGAAGGTACATGTGTATGCATAGGCGCTCTTGTATGTGAAGACTAGAGCAGGACCTTGTATGTCATACTTAAGAATATCATCCACTTCCTTTAAGACAGGATCTTTCTTTAGCCTGGAGCTCACTAACTAGACCGAATGACTGGCCAGTCAGCCTTATGGGTTTCCCGTCTCTGCCTCCCCAGCACTGAGAGTACAAGTGCTCACCAGTGCTCCCAGCGTTTTTAGGTAACTCCTGGGCATTGAGCTCAGGTTCTCCAGCTGAGGCATCTCTCCAGTCCCAGACATTAATTTTAAAGCCTCATTTTTTTTTCTGGGTTTATACACAGATGCTTCTTCATCATCGGGAGTGACTTCCTTGACCTCCTCTGGTAAGGCTTTCCACTTGCCCTATTTTTAATTTAAATAAAATGAGAGCTTTTCTTCCTCCTAATCGGTAAATGATCTGGCTGTGCTTTTTCTTGTCTTTGTCTATAGACATTTCTTCAACCTCAGCGGAAACAAGCGCTTCAAATGGTAAAGGCCCACATGGTGCTGCTTAACTAATGAGATGAGTTTCTTATTTACCATGTTGTCTTTAGACAGTGAAGCTACTGAATGGTCGGTCACACCGACCACAAAGTAAAGGGAGTGAAGACAGCCCACGTATTGTGTACTCATGTTAGATCATCTTGTTCTCTGTGCTTACACACAGATGAATCTTCAGCCTCCACGGACGATGCCTCCTCTGGTAATGGTTTGTTTGTTTGTTTGACTGTCAAAGTTCTTATTACACACAGTCAGAGGTTCTCCTTTTTCTGTTTGTTCATTTCCTCTTCTCTTTGACCACAGATACATCTTTAACCTCAGCAGACGTAGCGAGTGGAGAGCCAACTGGTAAAGTCCTTCACTGTGCTGTTGTATTTTAATTAATGAAACATGGGTTTTGTCCTTGAAAATCTTTATTATCATGTATTAATTATGCATACAAGGCTTAACTGTGGTATTTTCATACACTGTATACTATATTATCCCTCATTATTCTCTTCCCTCCCCTCACACTCTCTAATCTTTGTTTCTCTCCCTAGTTTGGCCATACTCTATGCTCAGATCTTCATTTCATGAACTCGTCAGTTTAACTAGTCAGGTTTTTAGGAGAGCCCAGGAGGGAGTTATTTGCAAGATCATTGGCAACTTACCAAGGGCTGCACCCCTGAAAATGTCTCCTTCTCCCAGCAACCATTCAGGGCTTATGTATACTCAGGCAGGGGTGAGGTCTCAGGAGCGCCTCCCTCCTCTACAAAGGGATGAGGAGAAGCCCAATCAAGTGCAGATACTCACAGCTGCAGAGAATTCAAGAGCCCAGCATTCATCTTCTCAACACTCCAGTTTCCTCAACAACACTCCATGCTCTCCTCACACTCCATGCTCTCCTCACACTCCACACTTTCCTCAACAACACTCCACGCTCTCCTCATGCTCCACGCTTTCCTCAACAACACTCCACGCTCTCCTCACGCTCCATGCTCTACTCACGCTTCACGCTCTACTCACGCTCCACACTTTCCTCAACAACACTCCACGCTCTCTTCATGCTCCACACTCTCCTCACACTCCACGCTCTCCTCACGCTCCACACTTTCCTCAACAACACTCCACGCTCTCCTCATGCCCCACGCTCTCCTTACGCCTCACGCTCTCCTCATGCTTCATGCTCTCCTCACGCTCCACGCTTTCCTCAACAACACTTCACACTCTCCTCATGCTCCACACTTTCCTCAACAACACTCCACACTCTCCTCACACTCCACGCGTCACGCTCTCCTCACACTCCACACTCTCCTCACGCTCCATGCTTTCCTCACACTCATTTTCTTCTTGCCACGCTCTCACCATGGTGTTTCCTGACACTTGGAAGGAGTGATACAGATGCCCCGTTCAATGGTGACTGACTGTTAGAACTTTGGACAGTTATGAGTCTGTGCAGTAGCCACTAACCACAGGAAGTAGCTTTTCAGATCAAAGCTAACAGCTATGCCAATCCAGGGGTATAAATGTAAACATTTCAAAGAAAAATTGATACACACACCACGTTCACTAACAATACAACAGAAATGGCTTCAGCACTAATAATTTTCACATCTCCCGGTTAGGTTTACAGTACCAGACACAAATCTCACTTCCTATGTGGACAACCTTGAGTTCAACCAGAAAGAAGTTGGTTACCCCCATACCAGTTATACCACTCTTGTGCTAGCAGGCGCATCTTTCCTGGAAGGTCAACACTGTAGCTTGCAGGGCTCACAGCTGAGAAATGTTGCTGATGACAATTCTTCCCCAGAAATCTACATAGTGTCTTCTGACACTGTGAAAGCTAGCCAGCAGTGAGAAAACTGGCAGCTAAGTTCCAGCTTTATTTCTGCATGTCCTACAAGCAAAGTGTGTGGTGTTTTCAGCAACAGAGATGGTTTTCCTATTTGTCATGCTAGATTTAAAAGATGCACCTTGTTAAAGACCATAATGACCACAAAATAAATATCAATGAAAGCCACTCATTTTAAAGCATTTTGTTCTCTGGATTTATACACAGATGTATCTTCAGCCTCAGCAGAAGATAACTCCTCTGGTAATGTTTTCTGACTGTCAATTTTCTTATTAAGCAGTCAGAGATTTTCCTCTTTCTATTTGGCAAAGGAATCCAGGTATATCTCCTCCTTTCCACCTACAGCTAGTTCTTCAAACTCAGCAGATGCAAGCGCTTCAACTGATTAGTCCCCCATTGTAATGGTTTACTAATTAGGGAGTTTTCTCATTTGCTACGTTGTGTTTAGAAAATAAGCCTACTATTGATCACATTGACCACAAAGCAATGACTAAGGGATGCTTGTGTGTGTGCGCACGCATGAGTGTACGCCTGTGTGCATGTGTTCATGTGCTTACATGAATGTACTCATGTGTTGCTCAGATGCTCTTGCACCTGAGTGCACACATATGTGGAGGCTGGAGTACAATATTGAGTATCAAAAGCACAGTTTATCCTTTGAGATGGGTCTCTCATTGATCTCAGAGTCACAGTTTTCAAGGCAAGTGTTGCACCTACGAAGACATCTTCTCATACCACGACACTAAGATTACAACTCCCTATTTTCTGGCTTTCTACACAGATGCATCTTCAGGCTCCGCAGAAGATACCTCCTCTGGTAATGTTCTCTGTCTGTCGTGTTTTTACGTTAATCAAATGACAGCCTTTTCTCTTCCTATTTGGTAAATTATTTAAATATTTATATCTCTTTGTCTGCAGACACTTCTTCAGCCTCATCAGAATCCAGATCTCCAACTGGTAATGTCCCCAATATTCTGTATAACTAAATGAAATGAATTTCTTATCATTCATGCTGTAATTAGAACATGAGCCTACTAATAACCATATTGACCACAAAACAAAGCCCAGTGGAAGAAAACTCATCTTTCACATGCTCATGGATGTTTGTGTGGAGACTGTGAGCACCGTTCTGCATGTGTGTGTGAGGCTGGAAGATGACCTCAGATGTCATCCTTGGGAACATTTGTTCACCTCCTTCGAGGCAGGGTCTCTCTTGGAGCTCACTATTAGGCTAGAGCAACTGAG